TTTTAATACATCTTCCTTCTATTTCTACATTTTTTTTTCTTCTTCTTCCTTTTTTCTGTTTTTACCCTCCTTTATTTTATTCTCATTTTCTTTACTTATTCTCCATCTGGCTACTTTTTTTTTTTTTTCTATTCGTTCCTTTCTTTTCCTTTTTTTTTTCCACATTGGTAGCTATGAGTCCTCACAGGAAGTGCTTCCCGCCTCCCCCCGCCTAACTTACTTCCCCACCATCAGTGGTTCTCCAGCCAGCCTGGCCAGCTCTATGGATGCTGTCTCTATGGCAAAAGGCTCCTCCCCCCGCCACCGCCGGTTACAGTCCAACTTCCTATAGAGGGTCTACCTCCTACTTCTCCCCCACGCCTCACTCTTTACTCTGTAGTCTCACCTGGGCAGGTAAAAAAGCCCGAGTATGACAAGCTGCTGACATCACAATGATCGCCACATGGGTGCATTTGTCTGTCCCTGTGTTCATCGCTTCACTTCAACAACGTTCAACACGTTTGTTTACAACACGGCTCTGCCACAACCTGCAGGTACGAGGAGGCTTCGCCCGAGGAGGCAGCGCTCAAAGAGGAGGCATCACAGCCAGAGAAGAAGGACCAATAGGACAGCAGTACTGCTGCTTCTAAGCCCCGCCTACTGATGATCACCTGACCAGCCATCGTCCGCTGCTGCCACACCACTCTGAAGCTCGGTCAACTTTCAGTCCCTGCCATTTCTGCTTTGTGTTTGTCTCTGAGGGGGGCGGGGCTAGTAGAGCTGACAATGCCTACTTTTTAAGAAAAAAAACAAAAAAAAAAGTTTTTGAAATCCTTACAGCGAAACCATGGTAACAGCTGCTGTGATGGCATTGGTTGTTCCCCATCTGAAGGCAGCGCACGAGCACCCGGGTCACAGCGTCCTGCTTTGTCGTTTCCTTCATCAGGTCGAGGTCAAAAAAATGGAAGATATTGCTCGTTCTCCCCCTTTTTTCTTTTTTTTTTTCTCTCTTTTTTTTCCTTGTGGATTTTTGTTTTGGGTTCATTCTACGGTGAACCACCTCTTGCTTCTCGTCAGCATTTTATTGGATCCTTTTTTGTAAAACCGTAACGTTTCATTTCCGTAATGTTATTCGTTAGTTTGTTTTAAGGCTGTTTGTTTACAAATTTGAACGCGTATGTTCATTTGAAAAGTATAGAAACAAATGTCGGGATCAGATGTTAAGCTCAGTTTGTCAGTATCAATAAAGAACATGCTTCAATTTGAATTTTGTAACGTTTTCTTTTTTTTTTTTTTTTTTTAATTTTGTAATGTTTTCTTTTTTTTTTCTCTCTCTTAACTGTCAATCATAAAGTTAGTGAAAAGACTATTAAATGTAGAAAGTAATACGTTCAACCATGGAAACCCAAAATGTTATGTCAACTTCCTAATTAACTTTCAACACATTTTCAGTAATGAAACGTTTCTACCACTAGCTGAGCAGTCCTCAGCAGTCCTACTAACATTTATGCGTGTATTTTTACTGTTTGGGCTATAATCACTAACATTTATGTGTGTATTTTTACTGTTTGGGCTATAATCGACTAGACGTCATAAATTTACTATTTGGATGAATAATTCTAATATCTTTGTGATTTTTTTTTTATTCATTGTTTGTATTTGGATTATATTTTTGTGTTCAAGTGGGCAATTAAAGATATAAAATTTAAAAAAATGTGATAAAACATAATTTGCGCGTCAGTATTGCAACAAACACCACGTGTTCCCATAGTCAATCAAAAGTAATCGTTCTTAAAAAAAATTCTAAAAGAATTTTGTCAAATATGGTGGGAATGTCCAAATCCCTAGCATATGCTGTACATTTATATGTATATATGTATTTTTCTTTATTAAAAAGCAAAACAAACAAAACAGATGTGTGTATATATACGTATGTGTATATACTGTACGTATGCACGTACTGTATGTAAATTATTTTATTTTTTATCATTTGTTTTTTTTAGTAAATGTAAATGGCTAAATAAAGCCATGAAAAGTCAAATCCCCAGTGTGTGCACTCACACACTTAACAGTTGACTCTGGTTCAGATTTTTTCACCCTATAATCGAGCAGCTCTAGCGTACACTCGTACTTCCGGGATTCTCCGGAAGTTCACTGCTTGCGTTAGACTTCATCTGTGGTTCAGTCTGTGTATTTGTATCCCGGTACCTCGGTTCTGGATCAAATGGGAGAAGCGGATGTTACTTTGGCTCAAGTCGAGGAGAAGCCTCCAGATTCGGCTCTGGTGCCCGGCGAGGACTCGGTGGTTTGGAGCCATGAGGTGGAGGTTTGTCTTTTCCATGCGATGATCGGACACAAACCCGTGGGTAAGAGAAGCTAACGTTAGCTTGTTACTATGTCAGCTGCTGGGGGTTCGGTTTTCCAGGTGTCATTAAACGCATCACTGACTTCAATTGTTCATGTTTTACAACGATATTATCTTGTCTGTAAGTGTCTCTGATAAGGAATAAATCTATTTGAAAAGTTTTTATTATACTCTCAACTTTAGTCAATTGGGATATGACTAGTGCTAGTTCATTAAGGGAAACTTTTACAGCACTGTTTACCTTTCGAACAGAGTACTAAAACATGGGGAACATACCGAGTTATCAAAGATGATGAATTGTTTTGTTAGCAATAAAAATATATATTGAGTTTTGTTGCTAGCAATAAAAATATATATTGAGTTTTGTGTATGAATACAAAATGTGACAGTTTTAGATTCAGTAAGGTGACCTTGCAAGACGTGTTCAGTGTTCACAAACATCCAACTGAAACAACAAATACACCGTCATAGCATAGCAATAAACCAAATTATCACCATCGTCGATTAAACTAGAGTCATATCCAAAGCGTCAATTGAAAGACGGATGATGGTCTAATGCGTTTCTGCTATTTTTAATATTTAATGAATCCAAAACCAGAGCTGGAAATACGGTAAATTGGTACAATGTCCGCAAGACTACCGCAAGTTGACTAAGTTAGCACAACATAATCAACTTAACCGAAAGAAAGAGAGTACATAGAAATTGGTAAGAAAGACAAACGTATACCAACATGACAATAATACATTTTTATTTTCACCTTCAAAATAAAAGCATGGCCAGAAGTAGCGTTCTAAGTCAGGGCTGTCAAACTCATTTTCACCAGGGGCCACATCAGCAATACAGTTTCCCTTGAAGGGTCGGTTGTAAATGCAAGACTACAGACCAAAACCCCGGTCCGTAGACCAGTACTAGTCTGTAGATCATTTGATACCGGGCCACAGCGTGACGCAGTGGAAAAAACGTACTTCATTTTTATTCATTTACATAATTTGTAGAAAACCATAGTCAGTCATATCCATTTACTTTCTTTATTTAAAGATAATCTAGCAATATTTTAAAATATTACGTCATTCAGACACAGAATAGAGTCTTACCGGTCCGTATTACAGGTGGTACTGGCTGACCAGACCTGAACAAAAAAAGAACAAAAAATGTTGGTTACTCTCTAACAGACTAATACATGTTTCTGCAATAGATTATTATTTTTCCCAAGCTACAAATCTTGTTCATTGCTTTGCAATAAAACAACTTTTAATTACTTAAGTTAGGCTTTTTAAGCTCCCGAGGGCCACACAAAACGGCTTGGAGGGCCCCATTTGGCCCCCCGGGCCTTGAGTTTGACACTTATGTTCTTAATTGATTGTAAACATTAAACCTTTTTTAACATTTTATTACAAAAATATTTTTCTTTTTTTAAGTGTTCCGCGTAATTTCTCACCACCTCATAGACAGAGGTTCACTTAACAGTCAGTCTTCTCTTCTGTTGGTGTTTCTCAGACAGGAAGTGTCTTTGTTTTTCAGGCGTGAACCGTCACTTCCACATGATCTGCATCAGGGACAAGTTCAGTCAAAACATTGGACGTCAGGTTTCCTCCGCTGTCATCTGGGATCATCTAGGAACCATGTACGACATGCAGGCACTGGTGAGGCCGACGGAACGATGGTTGTGCGTGCATGTACGCCGCTACTGTGCGACAACTGCCACTGTACGCTTGTGTGTGCGTGTGTGTGTCTTGCAGCATGAGTCGGAGATCTTACCGTTTCCAAACACAGAGAAGAGTTTCTCTTTGCCTGATGACATCATCCAAGAAGTTAAAGAAGGTGGGTTCACGTCACGTCACCTCAGCTCTGCTCACTTATTTGTTATGGCTTATTTTTGTGTTTTGCATTTCAGTGCACTTTTCAGTCATCAAATAAAGTGCATTGAAATAGAAGAAATGCAATAATGGAATAAGCCTTCGCTTATGTCGGACATCAACGGGTTTTGCGTTTGTGTTTAGGAAAGCTGGTCACAGAAGAGGAAACCAAAGAGGAGTTCAGGATGGAGAGAGAACCTCCGGCTACACACGAAGAAGGTAGGAGACTTCACAGAGACACATCTAGGTCTCATAAAGTCACTAAAAACTGATGTTTATAAATATTTCCAAAAATTCATAGGAAACTTCAGGTTCTTATCTTCGAATTATATAATAAATAAAATTATCATAATATATTACCGTATTTTCTGGACTATCAGTCGCACTTTTTTTTTGGCTGGGTTTGGGTTTATACTTATACTCAGCTTATATATTAAAATATATAATTTCACATGTTTGTTATTTTCACACTGACAGCCACTAGAGGGCACTCTAGGTTTACGTACCAGTATCTGCTACTCCTGTACCACTAAAAAATTTACGTTTGTTATTTTCACATTGACAGCCACTAGAGGGCCCTCTAGGCTTATGTACCAGTATCTGCTACTCCTGTACCAGATACTGGAGTATCCATTATCAGGTACCGCTAGAGGGCGCTGTTGCAATTATTATTTTTTTGTTTTTCATTTTGCATTTTTTGGCTGATGCAACTTAAACTCCTGAGCGACTTGTAGTCCAGAAAATATGGTACTACAAATATAAACTACTCCCGTATTACTGCATCGGTCTTTGGGTCCATGTTTCTCTAAAGGCAGCAACTCGTCACTGAAGATGCCGGAGCGAACAAGCAACAGTCGAGAGAAGGAAAAAGAGCGAGAGAAAGAGAAAGGAGGGAGTGAAGGAGGAGGAAGCGGTGGAGGAGGAGGAGCCAAAGAGGCAGAGAAGAGGAAAAGGAGCCGAGCAGCCGAGAAATTACTGTCGTCTTCCAACCCCGCAAGTCCAGGAGGAGTCAAGAGGAGACGCACCTGAGTCTTGGATGAGGTAGAGATGAAAAGAAACAGAGACAAGTGTGAGGGAGACAATAGAGAAAGGGATAAGTGAGCGGCAGAGAATAGAGACGGTGAATGGTAGAAAGATGAGTCGGATTTTTAAAAAAAAAAAAAAAAGTAGTGAAGATGACGCCATCAAGTATTTGGACTTTGTCTCATGTGATCACCTGCGGTCCTGTGTCTGCACAGCAGGCAGGACAAGGCAACGGTGATGTCATCACATGTCACTCTGCGGCCTCCGTGGTTGGCTGCGTCGCGACCGTCCACTGCTCCCCAGGTTCTGCTGTTTTTTCCATCGTGTGACCTCGGTGAGAGGAAGCGACGCCTTTTTAAATTTGCGTTTTTATACATTATTTAACAAACTGAGGAAGCGTCGTAAGTCACGACGGAGACATCGTCGGCTTTTCGCAGTGGCTTACCAAACTTTTTTTTTTTTCTTTTTTTTACACGTGTGAAGCAATTAAACAAAAGATATTTCTCATTAAATGTGAAGCGATTAAACAAAAGATATTTCTCATTAAATAACGTCATTACTTAACTGAGTGGGTTAAGTTTTATGGGAAAGGATGCTGTTTTAATTTTTGTTGTACATTCAAATAATTAATAATTGTAAGTTATTTGACTGATAGATCATTAGTTCATTAAATAATAGGTTAGAAAATTAAATGAGGCCAAGGCTCCCACTTCAAAAGTTTTAATAATGTTTTTTTTATTTTCCCGACATATTGGGCCCTAAAATGTTGACCATTTTTGTATGGTGGTATTAATTTAAATAATAAAAAAAAAGAAGAGAAGAGAGTGAAGAAATACAAACACACATTTTAAATTCTACAATAAAAGATCCTCGTTTGGCCATCCTTTGGGAATCACTTTGCCTCGTCTCTCATCAGGCTTAGCCACGGTAGTCAAGAGTAATTTGTTAAAATGTACTTTTATTGTTTCTATCTTAAATGTTACCATCTATGAGATGATGAAGAAATTAAAATTTGGCTGTTTGTGGGGGACACACCTTGTTTGTGAGTTTGCTTTAATGTTCTCACGGTACGAAACTGTTGTCGGCGAGTTTGGTACGATACTCCGAACGGTTGGTTCGGTCTGGGTTCTGTTGTTCTGTGGGTCCTTTTGACGCCGTGGAGAAGAAACTAAGAGATGGTGAGTGATAGAAAGATGAGTGGCACTGAAAATAAACTAGTGAAGATGATGTCATCAAGTATTCGGACTTTGTCTCGTGTGATCACCTGCAGTCCTATTTCTGCTTTTCGCGCCTCTCTGGTTGGTGCTTCGCGGTCGTCCTCTGCTCTCCGGGTTCTGCCGTACCTCCGTCATGTTGTGTGTTTTCAGCAGAGGTGTGGACTCGAGGCGCATGACTTGGCCTCGAGTCATCAATTTGGTGACTTGAGAAAATGTAAAGAGACTTGCAACTCGACTCGGAGTTTAACATCAATGACTCGTGACTTCACTTGGACTTGAGCTCTTTGACTCGGCAAGACTTGATACTTTCTCCAAAACCCAAAGTGATCTGTGTGAATATATTATTATTTTGTTTAAAAGGACTCGAAACAGAAACGGCAGGACTTCTGTCTTCCATTGACACTTTTCAGTCTTGACTTGGACTCGACTCGGACTTTGCCTGTCTTGACTTGAGACTTGACTCGGACTTGAGTGCAAAAACTTGAGACTTGCTTGTGACTTGCAAAGCAATGACTTTATACATTAACTGGTTTTCAGTGAGTGGAAGTGACACCTTTTAAATTTGTGTTTTTTTTATACATTAATTAACAGAACGAGGGGGCATCGTACGCCCAGTTGTCAGTTTGTTTGTTTGTTTACATGTTTTTCTGTGCGCTTGTCGATAAATAACTTACATCAGTGAGGACTTTCTTTGCTTAACTGAAGGCGTTTAGTTATTCTCAAACTATTTTTGTGACACAATTCGATAGGTTTGACACTCATACTACATACATAGTTTGGATTTTGAAATAGTTTTGTTTTGTTTACACAAGCAATTCCCCTTTACACCACATGGGGGCATTGTCGAGCTGTTTATCAATCCGTCTAACCATCCGAAGACTACTTAAACTATCAAACCTTGTCTAAGACGTAAGATGTGTAAAAACACCAGCTGCTGTTGGCGCTTCTGTCTTAAATTGTATGGACAAATGACTATAAAATATAGTTGTGGTCAGCGGAAACTTTTATTGCCGCAGATGTCCACAGTCGGTTGTGATGACATCACCGTACGCCGCAAATTCAGGCGAGTCATTTTTTAATTACCCGATGATTCAGTCAGCGGTGCGTTTAAGTATCTCTATAGAGCCAACAGTGTGTAAATAGACTAGTGGTGCGTTCAATAGTCTGTGATTTGAGATTGTGCCGCCAGGTGTCTGTTCAAACGGTCTCTGACTCGTTTATTTGCAATTAATCTCCTGTTTGTTCATATTGTACGGAAGCGTATTGCCCCCGCACTAAATTACGTGAAAGTTATCACGAAATAACGTGAAAGCTATCAAGTAATTACGTGATACGCAGCCATTTTTTTTTCTGTGTGTCACCAATATGCTTCCCTACGCAACAGATTCCAGCGCATTAATTAATAACATAACAGACACCTTAAGAGCAACGAACCGGAAGTTGACTTTTATAAATCTGTTTTCTTTTTTTTTTTTTCACAACAGACACCTTCAGAGCAACGAACCGGAAGTTGACATTTATAAATCTGTTTTCTTTTTTTTTGTTTTTTTTTTCTTTTTTGTCTGACCAGCCACCGACACACGCAACAGTAGCAAATGTCACTTTTAGAGTGAGATGAAGTGGTAGAACACAAACAAGGACACGGTGTGGATTTACTTTCCTCAACTCCCTAAAAAGAGACGACTCTGTAGGTTCACATGTGGCTCCTGCCTCTCCTTTTTGATTGTTGTTTCAATTCATTTTAACAATTATTAAAATAAATATTTTTAACAAAAAAAAAACCCCAAAAGAAACACAAGTACATTGGCCCTTTATTTCAAGGGGTTATAATATTCAACCAAAAACGGTGTCATATCAAATTCACAAAGCAAATAAAAATACAAAGAGTCTGAGTGGTAGGTCTACACCAGGGGTGTCAAACATATGGCCCGCGGGCCAAAACCAGCCTGCTGGGAGGTTTGATCTAGCCCACTTGATGAATTTTGAAAGTGAAAAAAAAATGCACAAACATGCTCATGTTTTGCCAAATTATATTTTATTAAATATGAATATTTTCTAATAAACTTGAACTTATTTTGCAAGAAATCAAAAGGAAAAACATGCACTTATTTTTGCTTAGAGGCAGTGGTGGCTTAGTGGTTAAGGAAGCGGACTTGGATCCGGAAGGCTTGGGTTAAAAGCAGAGGTCACATTTGGTTGTGTGCAGTGGTGTGCTGTGTCACAATGACAAGTAGTTCACCTTTATTTATTGGTATTTATGATGATTGTACTGGTCCTGCTTAACAAAGTATCAGTGTGCAAAACTAAGGATGGCTCGATACAACATTTTTTAATGTCCGATACTGCTGCTGCAACTTGGAGTATCTGCCGATTCCGATACCTCCTTATCTCCTCCAGCATGCCGCGGGCTGCTGTTACTGAGATGATAGTGTCACTGTTTATGGCACGGGTGTCAAACATATGGCCTGCGGGCCAAAACTGAGCTGCTAGGGGGTCCAATCCGGCCCACTTGCTTAATTGTCAAAGTGAAAAATGCACAAACACTTCATGTCCGTGATGTTTTGTCAAATCATATTTTATGAAATATTAATATTTTCTAATTTGCTCGTGCTTATTTTCAGGAAAACAAAGGGGGGAAAACATGGACTTATTGTTAGTTCTAGGTAATTATGTTACGATTGGACTGGTCCGGCCCACTTAGGACCCCTGAACCAAAATGGGTTTAACACCAAGTTAGGTTTTTAGGATGAGTTTAACTTTAAACTTTAAAATGAGTTTAACACCAAGTTAGGTTTTTAGGATTATGTATAGGACCAGATGTGCCATAGTTGTTTTGTTTTTTTTTAAATATATTTTCTGTCCAGACATTTTGACCAATATCAGACCAATACTGATTCATTCGAGCCATCCCTGTTTAAAACTTGGTCCCCAGTTTTCAGAATAAAAGCGTGATTTCTTGCATGTCATCATGTCACGGAGAGCCTAAAAAAGACGTAGATGTCTCCCTCTCTCCTTCTCTCTCGCTCTCCCTCTTTTCTGTCTTTTTTTCTCTCTCTCTCTCTCTCCCTTCCTCACACAAACACACACACACACACACATTGATCTGTGAGACCTCATTAGCCATGTATGGTGTGTCTCCGCCAGAAGTCATTTGTTTGTCTTTAAGCAGCTAAACTCTCTTTTATGCTATTGATAATAGATAGATTAGCATTTGAAAGCCACAAAAGAGCTTTTTAATCAAACCGTAGGGTCACACACAGACACACACACACACACACACACCAGAGACATGCTGACACACAGATCCAGGCTCCCAGGCCTCCTGTTGTTTAGCGTGCGATGATTACAAAGACGATCTGGTGCACGATTGTGTGTGTGTTGGTGTTCTGGCTGGTAGTTAACACACAGTAATGACTTAAACTGCAGCTAGTGCTTTTGTGCGTGTGTGTGTGTGTGTGCGTGTGTACATGTGTGGGTGGAAGCACAACTGCTAATGAGCAGCTTTAAAAGTCAAGGTTTTTTAATCTGCTTCAGTCTGACCGCGATGAGTAAATTTTATCACCACTCATTTAAAAATCATTACCGTGTCTTTGCTGGAGCAGATACAGACGGTGAGTGTAAATAGTTACAAGATATTATTGATAGTGGTTGAATTAGGATGTTGAGTGTTAGGAGTTTTAGGGAAAAAAACATTAGTAACCTGGTTAAAGATATTATTGACCCGTGCTGAGGGACTTTGCAAAGTAACAACCCGAAAGGAACGTTTTCTTCTTTCAGATATGTCCTCGTGCGTACGCCATGGACGCACATTGTTACATTAGGAGTGTGTGGTCTACTGCTGACTATTATGGTCACATTCTCTGTGTAATTTCGTGATTAAAACTTTAGTCACAAAATAAAACATTTAAAGTCAGTGATAGAGGCGGAAATCCTTGTGATCACAAAATTCTCTCTTTGTTTCAGACACATAAGTGTCTGAAACAAAGAATAAAAAAACAAACAAACTGTATTTTCCGGACTATAAGTTGCTAAGTATACGTCAGCCAAAAAAGTGGATAATCAAGAAAATATATATATATATATAAGTCACACCAGCTAGCTAGAGTGCCCTCTAGTGGCTGTGAGTGTGAAAATAATAAACGTGTACATTTTCCCGGCTTTCATATACGGTCCGTCCGTCTTGGCCAGTATTCACTCCTCAGTTCACTCT